TACTGTCTCTCTCTCTCCGTCAAATAAATAAATAAAATCTTGAAAAAAAAAGAATAATTAATCTGTCGGAATTGGCTGAAGTAGGGCCCCAAAATAAAAACCAGTTTTGAAATGTGCACTCTCTTTAGCAGTCATTATTAGTAAACTATCTCGGCTATGTAGACTTTAAGACTCTTCTTTTGACTTTTAAAAGGATTATATATGCCTTGAGGCAAATATCACATAAGGGAAAAGTAAGTTTGCAAAGTGAGTAAGAAAAACTCACTGTTCCTCCTGGGTGTTTCTCCTTTACGTTCATAGAACACTCCACTTCTGATACTTCTGGTCACCAAAGGTGTGGTTTCCCCCCCTCCGCCCCCCACAACAAGCAATTCTCTGTGACACCAGCTGGGTGTCTTATAATTTTTTTTTTAAAGATTTTATTTATTTATTTGACAGAGAGATAGAGAGCACAAGTAGGCAGAGTGGCAGGCAGAGAGAGAGGGAGAAGCAGGCTCTCTGCTGAGCAGGGAGCCGGACATGGGGCTCGATCCCAGGACCCTGGGATCATGACCTGAGCCGAAGGCAGCCGCTTAACCAACTGAGCCACCCAGGCGCCCCTGGGTGTCTTATAATTTAACCCAATTCTGATGCTACCTAGATGACAGATCCCACAGGTTAAGGGTTCAGCCCGACAAGACTGCTGCCCCTGTCCCCCCACGCCAGTTGCAAGTCCAGGTGATCACCTGTGCATCAGACCACCGATGGGCCATAAAGCAGAGGTTCCCATCATCTCCTGCCTTGGTTTTGTGAATTTGTGAGAGTGGCTCACAGAACTCAGGAAAAGTTTACTTACTGTTTATCAGTTTATTATAAAAGACGTGATAAAGGATACCGATGACCGTCCAGATAGAAGAGATGGGGAGGGCAAGGAAGATGGGAAGGAGCTGGGAGTTTCCACACCCTCCCCTGGTGCACCTCTTCCCCCCAGACCTCCACGTATTCAGCCACCCAAAAGCTTTCCAAACTCTGTACCTTGGGGATTTTTATGGCGGCCTCATCACATTGGATCATTTTTAAAATCCGTTTCCAGCTGCTTTCCCCTCTCTGGAGAAGGGGAGATGGGGCTGAAAATTCTAAGCTTCTCATCATGGCTTGGTCTTTGTGGTGACCAGCATTCACCTAGGAGCCCACCAAGAGTCACCTCATTAGGACAAAAGACCTTCCTATCCCCCAGGAAATTCCCAGGGGTGTAGGAACTCCGTGTCAGGAACTGGGGTCAAAGGCCAAATATTAGAACAAAAGATGCTCCTAGTGCTCTTATCACTTAGAAAATGACAAGAGTTTCAGGATCTCTGTGCTAGGAAGCAGGGGCAGAGACGAATAAATATATTTTCTGCTATTTCACACAAATCAATATGGTTTAAACTGTTATTAGTTGAGGAAGGATGAGAATGTGTTTGGTTGACCATGCTTCCTTGGCTTATCAGTGACAGCATGTGAAAGCTGGCTCACCATGGGGTGCTACTTCAATGTTTTCAAACAACTTTCCGGAGGTACGATTTACAAACCATAAAATCCCCTTGTTTTTAAGTGTGCAACTATTTCCATAGTTCGATCTCAAGATGCAGTTTTAATATATAAAACTCATGCATGTTAAACAGAAAACACCCTCTTTATTGGGCTGGATTAGGATCTTTAGAGGTTGCAAGCGTTGAGTAGGATTTGTTTGTTTCCCGTCCCAGTTCCCTCTTTCTTTCCCTTCTTTTCCTCTTGTTTTTCTCCTTCTCTCCCTCCTTCCTCATGTGTTAGGTGCTCAGGGTAGAAGGTAAGAGATAATCCCCGCCTTCAAAGATTAGTAAGACAGTCACAAAAAGCCATGAAACAGATCATCACATTCTTTTTTTTTAAGATTTATTTTTTTTACTTGAGAGAAAGAGAGAGAGAGAGAGAGAGAGAGAGAGAGAGAGAGAGAGAGAGAGCACCAGCGTGGGGAGGGGCAGATGGAGAAGGAGAGAGAATCCGAAGCAGATTCCATGTTGAGCCCGGAGCCCTACACAGGGCTCGATTCCAGGACCCTGAGATCACAACCGGAGCCAAAACCAAGAGTCAGACACTTAACCAACTGCGTCACCCAGCTGCCCCAAGATCGTCACATTCTTTTGTGGAAGTGTCATCCCCAATAGAAGGGCTGTCCCTGGTCTTCTGGGGTCACATTTCTCTCAGCTCCATTGCAGGTTCTCAGAGATTTAAGGGCTCAGGCCAAGAAACATTTGTTGGGTACTGGGCTCAATGCTGTGGGTACAAAGATGAATAAGAGCTCATCCCTGTCGGGATTTAAATGGCTTTCGTTCCACCTCAGGTCACTAAACATCAGTCAGTGTTACTGGTCTGACTGACCTTCTGACCCAGTCCTAGTATCTCAACCTTTGCCCATGGGAAGTACAGACCCATCTCTTGTACCCTGTCTGATAAGGGAGACTCTTTCCCAGTTTACTGCCTGCCTTGCCCCCTCACTTCCTGCAGCGTGCTCCTCAGAGGGCACCTTCTCAGTGGGGGCCCCCTCCGGCCCCCGAACTGAAATTTTAGCCCTCTTCTCACACAGAGACTTCATCACCCTCTTTCCTGCTTGCTTTGCTCCCGTTTCCCTTTTCACCCCCCAACACACAATTCATTTTGCCTGTTAGGTTGTATATTCTCTGCTTTCTCTATTAGAATGTGTGCTCTGGGAGGGCAGGAGTTTGGGTCTGTTTTCTTCTCTGCTCTGATCCGAGGGCCAAGTTCCCGCTACACAGTCCACACTCAAGGAATACTTGTTGGATGAATTCATGAATATCTGATCTTTATCTTGCTCCCCAGTGCCAGAGCCCATCCTGATAAGCCTCGTTCTTCAAGACCCGGGACATTGCCTGGCCCCTTGTCTCATTCCCACCACGGGCAGCATTCTCAGTCTGGAGGGTGAGGCCAGAAGCTTTGGCCACGCTGCCCGCCAGCTTGCGGCTCGGGCCACGGCCTGGTCGCAGCTGCCTTGCTCCCGGGGCTGCCTCACTGAAGGATCTGTTCAGACGTGTCATTGCCTATTCCTCCCCTGACTCGAATGGCTGCTGCCGCTCCAGCGCGGCCCCCGACTAGTCTTAGAACTGGTCTATCCCAGTCTGCCCCAGTTAATTAACCTTCTCTACATGACAGCTTTACAAGACTGGACAGAAGGCAGAACACCCATGATGTGGTGTGAATTAAAATACCAGCCAGCGGGAATGAATGAGGAAGGATGGAAGTCACCCCACACCATGCCGAAAGCTTGAATCCTCCCAAAGAATTGCTTTGAAAGCAGCTGACAAAAGAGTTTCAATATTTCGGAATAATTACCGGTCCCTGAAATTAGCTTCCTAAAAGTAGTCTTTAAAGTCACTTCTTGAATAATCATAATATTTATAGGCTAAGCGTTCCTAGTAAAATTTTGGGTTGTGATAACTCACCGTCCTATTCCAAGCTCCTGGTCAACATCAGAAGTTTTCGATACTCCCATTAGCTTCTCATTGAAAAAAAAAAAAACTTTTTTTTCTGCCCTAAATTTGAGGACAAAAATAAAGACTCCTGAAGTCTTCTACTTCCAGTATACCTGAGGCTTTTAAAGCACACATCTAGCTTTCACTGCTGCCAGGTGCACAGTGAAGCTATAACTTCGGGGAACAAAAAGACACGGGTTACCCAAGTGAACGCTTTAATTAGGAGCCTAAGAGAGGACTGACAGCCATCAAGCTATAAAGCTGTCTCTTGGTGACCGATTTCTGTATGTGCTTAGTGACAACACATTTGGAAACACTATGAACAGGCTTTACTTGAGTACGTTTTGAATTTTAGTAGGTCATTCAGAGCCCCCTCAATGGTTTGCAGGGTTTCCTTTTCATTTTCTTGGCAGAAGCACTTCAATGAGCTATTGGGAGAGGTTAGAATGGGAGTTCTTTCTTTGTGGACAAGACAGCAGAACATAAAACAGCTCCATTCCAGCAGCCAGGAGGCTGCATGCTCTCTGTTGTTTGGAGTTCCTGGCAAGTGGGTAGGCTTATCCTTACCAGAGTCATAGAATAGAGTTTTGGATCTTCATTCTGCGTAGAAATCCGTTAAAAAGACACCAAGGAGCATGGATAGCATCCTCTACCAGCCACCCCCTCTCCATTCCCCAGTTTTGCAGTCAACACAAGAGGCAAGAGACCATGTCTTTACATTTTCTTGGAGTAACTAGTCATTCTAAGCATCTTCCCTAAGGTAGAAGTTAGGTTTCAAGGTGGAGAATAAGGTGGGCCGCGGTGGTGCGCACCTGCCATAGAATCCTCAGCATTTGTACCTCCTTCTTCCCTCCCCTCCCCGCCCCCCGCCCCCCCTTCCAGGGAGCCAGGTGTGTGTGGGGGGGGGCGGGTATCCATTCGGGCTTCTTTGGAAGCGTCCTGCCCTTCACAAAAGCAGGACCGCTCCCTGCTTGGATTACGTGAACTTTCAGGGGCAGCCAAAAAGTATCTGCGGCGACGCGGATGCCAGGGCAGTTTCTGGAAACGCGACAATATCAACTCCGTGGCTCGGTCCCCCGGTCGCAAAGCCGTACGCTGGTCCCCGCCAGCCACGGCCCCCGCCCCAGCCCTGCCCTGCTGCCGGCTGAACGCTGGCCCGGTCTCACACCTGATCGCTGCTCAGGTTCCGCCCCCCCCCCCGCCCCCCGCCAACCAGCGCGCGGTGCAGAGACAATGTCGAGGTCCCGGCCCAGGCTGGGGCACTTGGGGCATGGCCTAGGGAGCGCGCGGGTCAGGGTGGGCAGCTCCTCACTCGGGGGCTGGGTGTGCGATTCCGGACCGACAGACGGACGTCCAGGACGAGCCGCCGTTGGGGCGCCGGGGGGGGGGTTGGAGGAGGTGGAGCCGCCGGGGAGGGGCGGTGCCGCGGGGAGCGGAGCCCGGCCTCCCGCCCCCACCCCGCTTCGGTGCCTTAGTCTGGGCGGTGACACAAAAAGCTCCCGCTCGGAGCCGAGCGCCTGGCGGCGGTGTCCGACCGGGAGCGCCGAGGGCGGCGGGCAGGTGGGGCGCCTCCCGAAGGGCCGAGCCGGGAGCCGGGGCTGCAGGCGCCGACGCCGCGCTCCCCGCGGCCGCCCCGCAGCCCGCCCCGCGCGTCTGGCCGAGCGGGTGGCGGGCGCGCCGGGACCATCCCGCGATGCTGCCGCCGCCGCCTCTGTAGGTAGCGCCCTAGCCCGCTGCAGAGAGAGGTCGGTGACTTTCGGTTTGTTTTTCTGCTCTGCCCCTCCCGGGTCGGGGGCGGCGAGAGGGGCGCGAAGGGTGGGATGCCTTCGCCCCCACGGCGGCCGAGCCCGGAGCCAGGGAAGCGGCGAAGGGGAGCCGCCGCCTGGTGTGTAGGGGGGCTCCTTTTGGGCAGCGGATGGGGGTGGCGGGCCGCAGCGGTCCCGGGGAGTGGAGTGCGGGGCACAGCGGGGCGGTCCCGAGGCGGCGGGGAAGGGGGCTCCCTGGAGTTGCGTTTCTCCGGAGCGCTGGCGGAGTTGGGCAGGCGGCTGGGGCGGGGGAACGGCGCTGTCGGCGGCTCCGCCGAGTCCTCGGATGCCCCCTGGAGCTCCAGTCCGAGGGAGCGCGTCTCGCGCCCGCGCCCGCGCCGCGCGCACCTCGGAGGGTGCACGTGCGCGCGCGCCCCAGCTGCGCCCCCACCCCGCACGCACCCGGGACGGTCCCCTTAGCAAGCTCCTTGTCGGGCAAGGTCCCCACCCCCAGAAGTTGCCCTCGCGCGCCACTCCGCGGCCCCGGGAGGAGAGGGAGCCGTGGCAGGCCAGATGTTGGGGGGTCTTTTGTGCGGACCCACGTGCCTGGGGCGCTTGCTCCTGGAAGGGCAGCGGCAGGACAAAGCCGGCTGGACGCGTGGGACGCTGCACGCTAGGCGGCGGTCCCCGATCCCGCCTAGGGTGGGGGTGGGGCGGGGGGAGCGCTGCACGGTTTTGGAAAGAGTAGAGAAATCGGCAAAACAGTGACAGGGACTTGAGGTGGCGGACAGGGGCGAGGGAGAGGATGCTCGCGAATGCAGCGCTGGTGTGTCTGGGCGGGTGACCCGGCGCCCCGCATTCCCTGATAACCCGGTTTACTAGTATATTTTGCTAGTGTGTCTTTGCTCCGAGATATTATTCTACGCCTTCTGGTGTTTCTTTCTTTTTGAGGGGTTACATACAGGTGCTGGTGCAAGCTCTACCACACGAGGAGAACTTGGGGGCGGGGGAGACTGCAACGGAGTCGGGGGGAGGGGTTATTTATCCTATAGAGACAATTAGGAAGCGTTACGCCCCCCTCCGCGGCCGGGCGGCTCTCCACACCTCCGCCGCCTCCCTCCACCTCCCCGCGCACCCGCTCCACCGCCGCCGGCCGGGGAGGGTGCTTGGATTTCTTTCTCTGCTGCGCGAGTCTAACCCTTCCTGCGTGTATTTCACTGCAGGCTGAACAAAGCTCAGGCTCAATTGTGCTTCCTGCTTGTCAGCCTCTTGCCTCCCAAACGCGTACCGTTTCCACTTGATGTCATCACGCGGAAGGGGGTGAAAGGGACTCGGTGACAGATTCAGGTAACCCCCAGCAGTCTGGGTAGCCGCCTGGGTGTCTCTGGGTCATTTGGGCCAACAGTGTTTGCACGGGGCTGTTTGGGTGGTTTCTGCATCACACCATTCCTTTACTGTCTGTGTGGAGGAGCCGTGGGGGGCTGCTGATAACTCCTGGTTCTGAGAAAGAAATTGCAAATGACTTGAAACCTTCCTTTGGAAGAAGTCGTTGAGGGCAGGGCGCCTTTGGGGTTGAATCAATTCCACCGGATTTCCATTGATGGGAATTTTGATGTATTCAGTACATAGGCAATTGTATCTGAACGTGGGGTTTGGATATATGCCTGCTTTCTTATGTGTAGTAATATATTTTGGCTTCAGTCTGTTCATGGGTATCGCATGTTGAAAAGGTATCATTGTAAGGCCGATTGTAAATTTGACCAGTGCTCAATTAGGGCATTGGTCAAATGTAGTAACCTTCTTACAAAATAATGTCTCTCCTGCAAGCCTTCATTGTAATAGTATTTGCAATATCAGGAGGGACATGCCAGCAGTAAGTTCCTGGGAGGTGGAACGGAGGGCAGTTGGGGGACCAGAAAGAGAACAGAGAAATGGTGCTTTGGTTAAGTTTCCATTTACATAGCCATGAACCATTAGGCTCTCAGGCTGCATTTTATCTTTAGGTTGTTGGTTCTTTTCCAAAAACTCTGGCCTGTTCCTTTCTTTCCGAGGATAGTTCTGTTTTGATGTCAACCTAACGAAATCTGGGGTTCTGTGGACGGGGCTCAATGGAAATGTCACCTTCAGACATGTCAGATCACCTTGGCATTGGCATTGTCTCCTAGAGGGCAGAGTCCTGGCATCCTGCACGAGGAGCAGAGAATAAGAATGGTTATGGAGGTGGACTCAAGGTTCATCTTGTGGGAAGAAGGCATTGCTGAGGGCCAGAGGCTCCTGGTGCTCCTGCAGCAACAGCTGCTCAGGGTCTGTGGCAGATTCTCCTACCACCATTCCCCTCCCCCCACCATACCTTGAAAAATAAAATTTAAAAACTTGAAGGATTTGTCATTCACCTCTAGGGTAGTTCTGAAAGGTGACTTTAAGAAAACCTAAGTGACACTGGCATGTATCCTCCTCAGAGCATCCAGGAATCACCAGGAGAGGTAAAGGAGGTATCGGGTCCCAGCTCGAACAAAGGCCACCGCTTCGGGAAGATCAGATTTGTGATGGTGCTAGGACAGAGGGATTCTGACAAGTAATTTTTATGTCAGCAATAACGCAGGGTGTGTTGCTGTGTTCCTGCAAGAGGAAAAGCCACGTGATGGGATAATAAGGAGTGTAATAATGCAATAGAAACAAAGGGTGTGGTTTTTTTTTAATAGAAAAAATAAATACCTCACACGCAAAATTCCACATGGGAAAACGCTGCCTGCACATGTAAATGCACGTCCAAGAACAAAGATAGCCACAGTGCAGTGTTCGGTTTCACTGTGGTTTTAAACGGTGTGCAGGAATAAATCATAATAAAGTGTTGTATTGATGCTTATTTTGTTTTTTTTTTTAGGTGGAGGCTCCCCACCCCCAGAGGTCTGCAGTAGTGTGTTTAGCTGTGGGTGGGTGGGTGGGGGGGTGTGCCCTGGAGGGTTTTTAGACCAACCTTTGTCTCCAGTGCCCAAGTCCTTTCTACAGTGTTCCTTTAATTCATTCAGCAGATGTTTATCAAGCACCTGATAAATAATAGGTTTTGTGAAAAATGCCAAGGGGCGGGGGGTGTTGTCTGGAGACATAAAGATGAACCACCTTCGGGGAGCTTATGGAAGACCTGATTCTAATTAAGTTCAGTGGAAGCCAGAGAGAGGAACAAAGGGTGGTATTGGACTTCTGAGGGAGGAGCATATGGTCATTGAATGCCTCTTTCATTGGGGAGATCACTACTTCCTAAGTGACTGGACCTGTTGTCAGAAGGTGACCTTTTCTTCGTAGGCTTTAAACTCTGCAGCTGAATTCCACACGAATGTTTAGATTTCACTGTTGTTGAAAGGTCATTCTGTTTCATTCCTTATCCCCTCAGAGTTGCTTGAACCTGTCTATCCTGTCTGCACCGTCTACATTGGACAGAATTACTTGAATTTTGAAACAAACTCTGCTTTTTGGGTATTATCTGATTTAGAAAACAGATGGGGGACAGGAACTTTTGCAGGTTTCTGTCTTTTTTAAAGCAGCAATGTTATTGGCAATTTAGGTTAGGTTGTGCTGCAGTAAGAAATCACCTCCAAATCTCAGTGGCTAAACACAGTTTCTTTCCCATGCTGTGTGCCCGGTGTGGTCATCAGGTAGGCCCTCCTTGTCGTGGTCACCCGAAGACCCAAACTGATGGAGGTGTGATCTTGAGTGTGCAGCACTGGAAAGGAAACTAGAGGATCTTGCTGTATTAATGACATGATTGGGCGCAGAAGTGACTTACATTGCTTTGGCCAGAACTAGTGCTAGGACCCCATTGAAACCATAATTCAGTATCTCTTGTCCTGAAAAAGGGGGAAATGGATACAGGTGAGTGATCACCAATGACTTCCACAGGTAATGTGGCCCAGATGAGGTTACAAAGTGTCTTCCTGTGGGGCTGGCTCATGCTTTGTAGACATTGGGTGTTACACAAGTATCACTTGAAAGAATGATAACTATCTTAAAGAATCTGGTCCTACCCCCACATGGTATTTACTGATGTGTTGGTATTCTATTTGCTAATACGATTGTACACTGACCATCAAATAAAAAAAAATTATAATGTTCTCTCTTGTTGCCTGTTTTGAGTAGTTGTTTATTCTGACGTGGTAGGCCAGGAGATGGTTCTAGGGCTAGTTCTAGGAGGTTCTGTGCTTAGCATTATGTAACAGAGAGCTGTTACTTACAGACTTTCTCTCCTTCACCATCTGCTTCTTATCTAAGACTTCCTGAGTTTGTTTGGACAGCCTGGGGTAAGAAAGGAGTGGCAAAGGGGGTGGCCTCCCACAGCAAAGATTGCAGGGCCCCAGAGAAGACATCAAGGGGGCAGGAATGTGTGTAGGGTGGCCTTGGGCCACCCCCTCATTACTCTGATGTTTAGAAAAAGCACCTTGGACAAGTGGCGTTTTCTGGTCACGGGACCAGCAGAACACCCAGAGAGTTCTGGGACATTCGTGCTCCCATCAGCAACCATGTCGACAAGGAGGCCGGTTAAGTTTTAAAGCCTGCCTTGTTGCATTGTCCCTAAAAATAGTTGGATGCCGAGGAATAGGCATTGCAAGGGGTGGCGGATTAAGTAGTTGGTGGCCTGGAGAGAGATTTTGCTGTCGGAAGTGCTGGTTCCTCAAATATCTTTGTTCGTGTTGTGATAAATGCGTGCATGGGTTAGAATTTTTAGGATCTGAGAAGTACCTTTGGCATAAGCGTGGAATTTAACAAAATAGTGTTGCTTCTGGCTCAGTAATCACCTCGCTCGCTGAAGTCATTTTTATAAAAAAAGCTCTCCCTTAGACAGGTGATATGGTGAAATGACAGCTGGCCCCTGAGTCACAGTGACTAGGGGACATCAGTGTTAGCCGAAGACTGCAGAGGCTGCCCTCTGCTTCCCCTGAGTGACAAAACACTGCACCCAAAGGGAGGGAAAGTGGGAAATGAGTGGCTGAGAAGCCGGCAGGGAG